TGTTGAGGAAAAGATGGTGGGATCAACCTCAAGTTCTGTATCTCCAAACCAAATGGAGTTGATGGTCCCTCAGCAGGAGATCTCATTCCATCCAATGACTGTTGATGAAAAGATGGTGGGATCAGCCACAGATCCCACGTCTCCAAAACAAACTGACTCAGTGGAGAACTCACCCGAGGAAGTGATCTTAGCCGATTCAGCTTCCACCGAAGCTTCTGGAGACTTCCCAAACGATCGAGCAACAACTCCAGATGGATCCTTACAAAGTCCACAGGAACCAGTGGAAAGTCCTAGGGTTCCTAACCAAATTGACGTGGTTGACCTTTCCTCAGTTTCCCAGGAAGGCAGTGGAATCTGTTTGCCCTGTCCACCTTCGTGGCAGGCTAGTCCTGTCCATCAACGAGCTTCTGATGAAGAACCACCAAGGATCCAGGAAGACCATCCTGAAAACTCCCTGTATCGCATCTTTGAAAATCCATTGGGTTTGATTGAAGATATTTCTCAGGACAGTACAGACTTGGCTGGTCCAGCTGTGTCGCACCTTTGTGAACCAAATGACAACTTGTGTGTGAACTTGGTGCCAAACAGTATATCAACTCGGCAGGAATTGGTGGAAAACCAAGACAGCTCTGTTGTGTTCGCTCAACATCTTCCCCTCACCAAAGAAATGGATCTGGTTGAAAGTCCTGAAGGAGACCATCCAGCTAGTCCTTTCCATCAGGAAATTTCGAATGAATCTGCAACATTGCAAGACGCTTCCAGTGCCAATCTGGATTTGCTTGAGGATTCTTCCATTCCCCAAGAAAAGGACATCGTTCACCCAACAGACAATGTTTTGAGGCGAGTTAATGAACGTCTTGCAGAGTCCGATTTAGGAACTCAAGAGGAACAGACAATTGGTCAAGGAGAAAAGATCCTGGTGGATTCCCAGCCCGCGAAAGAATACCCGAGCTTGGAGTCGCACGATACAGAATCTGAGATGTCCTTCAAGAGTGAAACGTGTTTGGAACAAGAGAATATCAGAGATTCTTCTGCAAGAGAAGAAGAAGCAGTGCCAGATGACGGCGTTGAAAAACCAACCGTTACCACGACCGCTGTAGCTGAAGAGGTCCACATTTTGATGAACGAATTGGTGGATACGGTGTGTGCCATGGTAGCTCAGAGTGAAGAAATGAGGGCTCCAAAGAGCTTAGATTGGATTGATTCAGCCATGCTGGAGTGTGTGACACCTCCTGTGAGCGATGATGAAGGTTGCCCAACTGACCAGCATTCCCCTGCGGACGTGAAATGGGCTGAGGAATGTTTAGATGAGACTTCCAACTTTGATGACCAAGAAGAAGACTTACAAGCCAGGGTAGAAGGACGAGGAGAGTTGTGTTCCTCATCAAATGAGAACACAACGTCTGATCCAGGAGATGTTTCTGAAAAAGCAGAACCTCAAGGAAATGATGCTACCTCAGCTACCACGGGGATCATCTCAAGTTGTGGCACAAGTCAAGCAGAGCTGGACACAACCAGCCCCAAAAGCACATGTTCATGGCTCGAAAGCACTGAATCACCAGATGACTACAGTGCAAAGGTGGATGACTACAATGTGTCCACTTTGGAGAAAGTTGAGCAGACAGAGACGAGTCCAGAAGAATCTGTTTGCAACAGGGAAGACTGTTCTAGAGGAGAAGATGTGGGGAGCTCATCCTTTATCCCAACAAAATGTCAGGAGGACTCTTTGGCAGAAGAACCTGGTCCTTTGGTTGACCGAGATTCAAGCGAAGCTCCAGAGGATCATGAAGAAGAGGCCCAAGAAGAAGCAAAGAGGTGTCTGGGGAGTCTTGAAGACCTTCTACCTGATGAAAGGACAGAGAGGCCCACCAGTTCTTCAGGCACGGACACAGACTGGGAAGATGAATCTCTGGCAGTGGACAGTGGCCAAGATCCCTGCGTAGATCGGTACCCCACGAGAAAATTTGAGAGTTTGTATCGACCGAGGTTCAAGGCCTCCCCGAGGATTGAATCCGAATTAACTCGTTCAGCTGCTAGGAACGAGATTTGTAAAGATGAGGATTGGGTGTCCTCAGAAGCTAGCCAGAAGGCGTCAGATGCTGTATCCAAGAAACACAACGTTCCTTTCGGTTTCAAAAAAGATGTCTCAATATCGCTGTCTCGTGACATGGACCGTAAACCCAAGCCCTTCAAGGATTATATCAATTTCTCCGTCACCAAAAAGCATAAGGAGAAAAGCAGGACTTTCCATGCATTCTCCAAAGAGCACAACCCTTTGTCCAGGGATTTGGGATCAATCAACTCCCGGAGCAGGAACTGGGGTTTTCTGAATGACCCGGTTCAGAACATTTTAGACGTGGAATCCCTGCAGTTCCATTGCAGGATCCAAGAGCTCCTGAAAAGATCACAACGTTCTACCTCCCGTGTTCTTCCCACCAAGATGGTCCCACCTCAAAGGATAGCAGAAGGATTGCTGCCCCACGAGAAAATGGTCTCGGAAGGGACAATTGCTAGGTTTCCCACCCAGAGCAAAAGTCCGCTACTGGTTACCGTTGTCAACCCACGTCCGAGAACTGGGGGCCGATACCATGACATCTGTGGCCCGTTTCCCGCCAGCCCAGATCCCTTTGTCCCACCCGCTGCGCCGAGGAGTCAAGGCGAACTCGATCCGAAGTATCCCTTCCCTTCTTCGCATCTCCAGAAACTAACCTACCATAAGCTGAACAGTTTTTCCCGGGATATCTCGTCTGTTCTCGAAGAATTTGCCGAATTCAGCAGGGCAATGAATTTGGAGAGAGCGCGGACATACAACCTGGAGAGAGACCCCACTGCTACCTCAGGAAAGGCGGGCGAGATACGGTACCCACTTCGACCTCCCACGCCGCTGGTCTACGAGGACCTTCTCGCCAACCTGCGCGATACCCTACATTTCCAGCTGAAAAATGTGGCTCAGGAAGCTTGCCGAAAACCCTTCTCGTTCTACTTGATGGAAACGGAGGACGACCCGTTTTTCGGGAGAGTAAAGGTAGGATTTGGGGGGAGGGGCGATGGGGGTCTCAGGGTCCCTGGGAGGAAGAGGGCTGCTTCAGAATGGTTGTGCGTGGTTGAAAGGATGGACCAAGGTTAGTCTGGATGGTTGTCATCTAGGGTTTCTCAAATGTGGCCTTTGAAGATGGGTGGACTACAGCTCCCAGAATTCCTCAGCCAGCATTCGTGAATCCCAACTCATTCGTGAATTTCAAGCTAGCATGAGTGGACTTCAATTCCCAGAATTCCCCAGCAAACATGCTTTAAGATGGGCAGACTTCAACTCCCAGAATTCCCCAATCAGCAGGCTGGAGAATTCTGGGAATTGAAGTTCACCCATCTCAAAGCATGTTGGGTGGAGAATTCTGGGAATTGAAGTCCTCACATCTTAAAAGTATCCTGGTTGGGGAATTCTGGGAATTGAAGTCCACCCATCCTAAAGTTGTCATGGTATAGGAAAAACTGCCGTAAAACTATCATTTCCAAGCAGGAAATCAATTTCTCTGTTGTTTGTCTTCTTCCTCTGCCTTTTCCCCCTTCATTGATTAAGCAGCATCAAAAGACACTTGGGTTCTTTGGATATGCGTAACATGCTCTGGTTTTTTTAAAAATATATATATATACAAGAAGAAAAACTAAACAGAAAAAGGAAACAAAAGAAAAAGGAGACAAAAATAGAAGCAGGTGAATAAACAAGGGATTTACAAGTATCACAAAAGTTGTACTTCAGTCAATGATAAGGCGGGACTAGAACTTCCAGTCTCTTGGTGATTGGCCCAAAGTCCCCCAACCGGCTTTCATGCCTAAGGCGGGACTAGAACTCCCTGTCTCCTGGTGATTGGCCCAAAGTCACCCAGCCAACTTTTGTACCTAAGGCAGGACTAGAACTCACAGTCCCCTAGTGATTCACCCAAGAGCCACTCACCCAACTGGCTTTCATGCCTAAGGCGGGACTAGAACTCACCATCTCCTGGTGATTGGCCCAAAGTCACCCAATTGGCTTCCATGCCTAAGGCGGGACTAGAACTCACCATCTCCTGGTGATTGGCCCAAAGTCACCCAAATGGCTTCCATGCCTAAAGTGGGACTAGAACTCACCATCTCCTGGTGATTGGCCCAAAGTCACCCAGCCAACTTTTGTACCTAAGGCAGGACTAGAACTCACAGTCCCCTGGTGATTCACCCAAGAGCCACTCACCCAACTGGCTTTCATGCCTAAAGCGGGACTAGAACTCACCGTCTCCTGGTGATTGCTCCAAAGCCACCCAACTGGCTTTCATGCCTAAAGCGGGACTAGAACTCACCGTCTCCTGGTGATTGGCCCAAAGTCACCCAATTGGCTTCCATGCCTAAGGCAGGACTAGAACTCTCTGTCTCCTTGTGATTGCTCCAAAGCCACCCAACTGGCTTTCATGCCTAAAGCGGGACTAGAACTCACCATCTCCTGGTTTCTACGCCAGTAGCTTAACCAGGAGGATCCACAAATATCCCCCGTAACAATTTGTGCCGTTGGACAGATGAGACTTGCACCAGATTGTATCATCTTAATGAAGACGATACGGACTGGGGCACAAACGACACATGTGTTCCGTGCCCCACTGAGTCTTTCCACGCCAGGTGCCTGCATTGTGTGTTTGGGGTTCACCTCACCCTAGTTGCTGCTTCTGTTTTTCATGGACAGCTTTTTTTTTCTTCTTCTTCTTCCAAACGCGTCTCCTTCCAGAATTTGCTGAAGAAAGACGGCCATTCCGAAGTGGACCTCCTGCAGTTCTGCAAAGGAAGCCGCCTGGAAAGGGAGAACTTACTGGTCATCGTTCGAAACGAGGACATTTCCTTCCATATCCACAAAGTAGGTTCAAAACTCGCTTTCGGCTCTTCCTGGAAATAATTTCTCAGCCCTTCCTCACCGACGGAGCCGGATTTGTGTCTTGTTGAAGAGATCTTGGTGGAACGTGGTAGTAGATAATAGGCACAGTGGGAAGGGACCTTGGAGATCTTTTAGTCCAGTGGTCGCCAACTAGTGGGCTGCGGCCCACTGGTGGGCCGTGAGGAAATTTTGGTGGACTGCAGAGAAATCTCCCCCCCAGAGCACCCCGCAAAGTAATTAATCCAGGCTGCGCAGAAACACAAGGCTGCGCGGCCCACATGGCCCGCGGAAACCCTCCCCGCCCACTCACTCCTAACCCGGTAAACTTGTCTGCTAAGTTGCTATTTTTCCTTTTTCCGACCATCATCTGTTCTGCTGTGCCGGGAGATTTAGATTAGCTAGGAAGCAGGAAATGGTTTGGATTTCTTGCTTTCTAGCTAGTCTTTAGATCTTCGGCTCAGCGTAGCCGAACCTCCCTTAGGACTGAAGGTTTGCTTGCGAGCAAATTAGTGTAGACTCACGGCAAGCAAATTTGAGAGACTGAGCTAGCCGATGGCAGATAGATAGATCACTGAATGATTCTGTGAGCAACTCAATCTGCCTGCCTGCTTTGCCTGATTTTGGGTAAAAGTTGCTCTTTTTTTTATAAAAAATTCAATGTGTATATAAATATTTATAATATTTTACATACAAGTCATGCCCAGCCAGTCATATGACCACCAAGCCACACCCACAAATGAGGCCACACCCACAGAACCAGTTAGTGGTTCCTAGGATCTAAAATGATGAGTTTGGTGGTCCCTGAGGTCCAAAGGGTTGGCGACCCCTGTTTTAGTCCAACCCTCGGGCAGGAGACCTATACCGTTTCAGAGAAATGGCTGTCCTCTCTCTTCTTGAAAACCTCCAGGGATGAAGCACCCACAACTTCTGGTAGCAAGCAGTTCCACTGGTTAATTGTCCTCCCTGTTAGGAAGTTCCTCCTTAATTCCAGGTTGCTTCTCTCCTTGATGAGTTTCTATCCATTGTTTCTTGTTCTGCCTTCAGGGGATTTGGAAAATAAATTGACCCTCTCTTCTTAGGGGGTAGCCCAGTGGTGCTATGCTACCGGTTCAGACCGGTTCACCTGAACCGGTAGTAAATAAAAGGCTCCGAGGATCAGATTGAGAGGAGAAACAAGAGAAAAGCCACAGGATTGGCCTTCCTACCTGCCCCTGCGGTTTCCTCTTCTTTCTCCTCAGCTGGCGTGGGAAAAGCTGAGCGCACGCATTAGGTGCGCGCCGGGATGGGATGCAAATATTTTTATTGCCGGTTCCGTGGACGTGGCTAGGTGGGTGTGGCCATGAGACGGCGTGGGCGTGGCTTCTTCTCCTCCTCTTTCTCCTCCTCCTCCTCCTCCTCCTCCTCCTCCTCCTCCTTCTCCTCCTCCTCCTCCTCCTTTTTTTGCCGCCCCCCCTTCCCTCCGTGCTGCGTTTTTTTTGCCTTCCTGGGCCTCAGCGAAGCCCTCTGGGCGAGGCAGTAAGACAGCGAGATGGATCCCGGCACAGCTGATTGTCGGAACAGCTGATCATCGGGAGGAAAAAAAAAAGAAAGGAAGACCTGTTTGGCTGAATTGGTAGCTGGTTTTTTTACTACCAGTTCGGCCGAGCCCGGCCGAACTAGTAGAATCCCACCTCTGGGTGTGCACCAAACCGGGGGTGGAACAGATAGGATGCCACTGCTGGGGCAGCTCCTCCTGTATTGAAACACTATTATCATGTCACACACGCACCGACACACACAAACACACTCCATGCCCTTTTTCATTAGACTAATCACGCCGGAGTAGACGTAACCCAATTCCTGTTGCCGTTGGGGCTGTGAGCACAGCCTCTGTGGCGCAGTGGTTAGAGTGCAGTATTGTAGGCTGGCTCTGCTGACTGCCACCAGTTCAAATCCCACCAGGCTCCAGGTTGACTCAGACTTCCATCCTTCCGAGGAGGGTAAAATGAGGACCCCGATTGTTGGGGACAAGAGGCTGATTCTGTAAACAACTTAGAGAGGACCGGAAAGCACTGTGAAGCAGTATATAAGTCTAAGGGCTGTTGGTAAATGTTGAGGAAGGGAGAAGAAGGAAGGAAAGAAGGAGGGAGGGATGAAGGAAGGAAGGAAGGAAGGAAAGAGGGAGAAAGGAAGGAAGGAATGGAAGAGAGAAGGAAGGAAGGAAAGAAGGAAGGAAGGAAGGGCTCTGGTGGTGCAGCAGTTAGAATGCACTATTGCAGTTTAACTCTGCCCACTGTCAGCAGTTCGATCCTGACCGGCTCCAGGTTGATTCAGCCTTCAATCCTTCCGAGGTCGGTAAAATGAGGACCTGAATTGTTGGGGTCAAGAGGCTGACTCTGTAAACTGCTTAGAGAGGGCTGGAAAGCACTATAAAGTGGTATATATGTCTAAGTGCTATTGGTAAGTAGAAAGGGAAGGGAAGGGAAGGGAAAGGAAGGGAAGGGAAGGGGGAAGGAGGAGAGGAGACGAGGGTGGAAGGGAAGAAGGAAGGAAAGGAAAGGAAAGGAGGTCGGTTTTGATGAGAAAGGAAAGATCAGGAAGGATGGGAGGGAGAGAGGGAGGAAGGAAGGAAGGAAGGAAGAGAAGGAAGGAAGGAAGGAAGGAAGGAAGGAAGGAAGGAAGGAAGGAAGGAAGGAAGGAAGGAAGGAAGGAAGAGCCGTGGTGGCTCAGTAGTGAGACTGTAGTATTGCAGGCTAACTCTGCCGACTGTCAGGAGTTCAATCCTGACCAGCTCAAGATTAACTCGGCCTTCCGAGGTGGGTAAAACGAGGACCCAGATTGTTGGGGGGCAAGAGGCTGACTCTGTAAACCGCTTAGAGAGGGCTGTGAAAGCACTTGTGAAGCGGCGTATAAGTCTTAAGTGCTATTGCCATTGCTACTACTTCCCTAGTTTCCCTCCGTTTGCTGCTCCCCCAGGTCCCTGCCCTGCTGCGTCTCAAACGCTGCCCCAACGTGACTTTTGCTGGGGTGGACAGCCCCGAGGACGCCCTGGATCACACCTACCAGGAGCTCTTCCACAGCGGAGGCTTTGTGGTGACCGATGACAAAGTCCTCGAAAGGATGACCACGGGTGAGTCTGCCTGCTTTGGAATGGCTAGGTGGCAAATTCTCCAGCCCAGCCGGGAGGGAAGGTGCCCATAGCCACATTGGTTGGAGTGGGAGCCACTGGTCCCGGCCATGCCCGCAAGGGGAAGTTACACACTTGGGATGTGGGCATGCTTGCTGGGGAATTCTGGGAATTGAAGTCCACCCATCTTAAAGTCTGCTGGCTGGGGAATTCTGGGAGTTGAAGTCCACCCATCTCAAAGCCTTCTGGCTGGGGAATTCTGGGAATTGAAGTCCACCCATCTTAAAGCCTGCTGGCTGGGGAATTCTGGGAATTGAAGTCCACCCATCTTAAAGC